CAAGGTGATTGAGTGTCTCCCGCCATAACGCTTTCTATGTGCAAAACGTGCTTATGTTTGTATTGTTATTACAAAAAAAACTGGCGCAATAATCATTAATTGTCAATTTCGTCATTAAATACTACACCAAATACAAAAAATAGCACCATTAAATTTCTTGTAAAAAAATGGTTATTATGAAGTTATTTTAAAATTTGTAAGCTCAACTGTTTGTTTCCTATAGCGAACAAAATAAACAAACTTCCTCTTTTATATGTATAGATATATATTAACATAAATATCTTTGTTTTCTCTTTAAAACAAAACAAAAAGTACTGCCTACAACTTTTTTAAATCGCATATCACTCAATACGTTTTTTTTATATTGTTACGTCTCCGTTTGTTAATTAACTTTCCGTAACTTCGTTCCGACGAAACTTTAGCGACACAAGTCCTTACTTAATAAAACTGGTTTATTCTTTCCGAATACAACTTTACGATACACTTATTTTCAACAATCGCTCTATAACAAACACTATATCAACAAGCGTCAACAATACTTCTGACTGCAGTTCAATTACTCACTATCTACACACACATTACATTACCGTCACGTTGTCACCCTCTTTTATATACCAGACTACCCTATATCTAGTAAATGCTAGAGCATTCGCCAAAGTACAAGATAGTTCTAGAAAGTAGAGGGCGTGAGAATAGTCACGTGATCTCGATGACGCAACAATATTGCAGAACTTCTAAATACGTTTTAATTCTATTGTTCTCTATAAAAGAATATTACGTTCAATAAAGCTTTTAAAATTACAAGCAAACTGAATTATATTATATATACAAATGATACGGATAATCTTTAATAAGATGAAAAAAGTGACCGACTCTGCCTATCACTGGTGGAAATCCTTGGGTTGCTATTCGTTAAAAAATGTGACTATCTTTATACAGATTTGTGTATTTATGAATCTAGTTTGTTTATTTTTAATCACATACAACGAGAGATTTCTTTCTCTCCCCACGGTAATGTCTTGTGATATAATACAAAACTTATATTTATTATATTCAGGTAGACTGATGTCAGACAGAACAGCCTAAAGTATCCGCAAAAAACAAAAAATAAAAATAAAAAAAAAATACCGCAGCCTGTTCAGGATTATTAAGCAAAGAATAAATCGAATACAGACTGCAATGGAAAACAAATGAGCTTGGAAATGTAAAATTCTTTATTAACATCCAAGGGTTTATGCTAAGAAACTGACAAGCTTTCAATCTGTGTAACTAGTGTCTGGTTGCTGAGCTTTAGAGCAAGAACAAGAGGTGAACTAGTAGTAGACAAGAGACCAAAAATAACAGAAAAGAAAGCCCAAATCAAGGGACAGAATTATAGAAATACTACAATTTTATACTCAAGAATAAGTGTGGTATCCAGTAAGTCCTCGGGGTACTTACTTCAACTAATAGTTTACATACAATTCTAAGCCATCCAAACCAGTTTGTACAGATTTCTGTATCTCCTGTTTGAATAGGTTGCCACCCTAAAACTCCATACAGAATCGCGTATGTCTTACTTTTCGACTTAAGAACAAAGGTTACGGTATGTAACCTTTACCTGTTAAAAGGATTAACACATATTCACGGCCTTGCGACATCCTGTCAATGCGGATGTAATTGGCTACATGCATAAGCTGCAAAGATAGTTAGAACAAATTTCTGAATTTACCCGAACAAAGATATATTCTGCACTAGTTATAGAAGGATAAAATTAGTATATTCGTTTCAGTTAAATTTTTCACCTTATTATGCTATGTTAATTTACAGTCAAAAACCACTTACATTTATATGTTCACGTTTTACCATTAAAAAATCGTAATCGGACTTTCAATAAATCCCATCTTTTTATTTGACATTGAATAAATGAGTAATTGGATATGCCATTGTCACTTCAAAGAAAGCATGCAAGCACAACATTTCTTATTAACGTACTTTATTTTTGTTGTAAGATATCTAAACGTCAATGGGCTTGGTCCTAACAGATAGCGATGCTTTGAGGATATACGCTTGCAAACTTCACGGAATTGTAATCCAATTACAAAACGTACAAGGAAAACTTTTACAGATATGGATGGGTGTTCACGAATCACAGTTTCAATGCTCCCGTATTTCGCAATTATATACTCGTTTCTGTATAATTATATTTATTGGAAATATATAAAGTTATCATGAAAATCTCTTTTCCAAATTTATCGTGAACGTACAAATGCTAACATTTTAGAAATAACATTCGTACAACTTAAAATATCACTTACGGAAACCCACTTTGCTTTGACGATAGGTCACACGTTGAGCATGCGCAATACACATGACTAAAAAATCATAACAAGTTCACTACCCTTAGCCTAAGATAAAGTAAGTTTTAAGTAGACCAAGAATTATTAAATGAAAGTGAGAAAGACAAGGGCGGTTTAAGGCCTTTACTTATTTTTACTTGGCCGAATGAAGATATGAAACAAACAAGAACCCTTTTAACATACTTCTGGATTTCTGTGACTTTTATCAGTCCAGGTGAAAATGGTGAGTAATCGGGTTTTTCATCATAACGATTAATGGTGGCATAGGTTAGGTTTATTGCTGTTGAATTATTGTTTTGATAGTTTTACTGTTACAAGTCACAATAGCAGTAATACAGTTGCCACATAAACATTAGCGTTACAACTTAAACTGATCACCTTTACCACTACAAGTCTTAACAAACGTGAACGTTAGGATCATTAATTTATACAATACTCAATAGGTAGCATTAACTTTCGTAGGCCTAAGTTCTGTCTTTTACTTTTATTTTTAACTTAATAAAAAAGTTAATCTATGGAATTTTATAAGGTTTTATTACGTAACTTAATCACAAATAAACTGAGTTATTTCATATTTTCTTATGGGAATAAATAAATTATTTGTAAGAGTGTATAGATAATTAAATTGCATCTTTTACAAATTTTAGGTTGTTTACATGTTTAAGTGTTAACGTTAGTTATTATAATTTTACGTGGGTTGCAATTTCTAATTTGCATGTGTGTATATATATGTGTATATATATATATATATATATGTATATATATATATATACATACACACACATATGCAAATTATTTATTTATTAGTGTAATTATAAGTACCTGTATCATAATTGAATAAGTCGCATGTTTTTTGCGTTTTTTTTTTATTGTAAAAAGTTAATGTTACAATAATTTAAGCCTTACAAATAATGAAATGTGCGTCAATAACTGAAAAAGCAGCATTGGGAAGGAGGGAACCCTATTATGATGATGAAATTCAGTTGCATGGGATGCTGTACTGTAGGGGTAGGATAATTTTGCAAACTTCAGTCCAATAACTTGCAAGGGCATATGAGCACCACCTTTGATAGGACAGTTGTGTTATTGAGTAATTTAGACACACATACACACAATGTTTATATATATTTATATATCTGCATTGAACTTTTCAGGTAGCTGTAAATTTAAGGGATCAAATGAAGTGTCATATGTTCATAATGTAAAAGGGTAAATGTAAATTAAATTTATGAATTGTGGTGCATAATAAATGATATAATATTGTTTTAAAGTACTTTTTCTATACATTATAGGTTTTAAGTTTGTGACATTCCTTTTGTACCTAATAAAAATGCTAGTTTTTGGATGTTTTAATTATATGTCCAGAACCAAAAGCAGTAAAGTGTTAGATATCAAAATGCTGAGAAATGAATTACGATGAGAAACATAAATGTGCAGCTTGCTCTCACTATTTTGAAGTGTAATACTTTCATTATAGTAAGTTCATTGGAAAGCAATTGTTTTTAAAAGTCACTGTTGGAACAGTGACCAGGCCTAAATGTTTACTTCCAAGAATGGTCTTCCACTGCACCTTGACCTATTTCCACCACTGTTAATAAGTCTTAGACCCTTTTTCATTCACTATATGAATGAAGAATAAAGCTTACTAATACCAATATGGTTTATCTGGTATATCAAGAAATGTTGCTATCAGCACGTGAGAATTGATCCTGCATCTAACAATGTGACAGAAAACAAGTGCTCTTATCTGTTAGGCTGCTAGAGGCAGGTTCAGTTAACATTTAGGTACCAGTCTATAGTCTCTAATAGATTCTAACCCTTGTCTGCTTTCCAAATGGAAGGATATGATCAGTAGGTATGCGTAATAGGGGACTCTCTCATTAAGTATACTGTTAAAGTTGTTTGTGGTGGGGAGCATAGAAATATGACTAGAATTTGTTTGCTAGATGAAAAGTGCAGGACATCAGAGTGAATGTGTGTTGACTGTTTAGTTGCTAGAACCTGGGAATATTCTATTAGTTTTGGTTTTAAAGGTGAATGATGTTGGAAGTTGTAAATAAGAAGAGTTACTTAAAATGTTTAAAGATATCTTTAAGAGGTTTATATAAGTAGCCATGTTGCTCATTATTGAGTGCTTTCTTGGGCTAGTTGCAGAAATGAGTTACTTAGCATGATCCTAGGTTTAAATGAAAAATTATCAAGGATATGCTTAGTGCAACAGATGAACTGGTTGGACCTGTAGGATAGTTTTCAGGATAAGGGCATATTTGCTAGAAATCTGGGCTACTCTTAGGCAGGTTAAGTAGGATAATGTTGGGGGAAGTTCTAAAGAAATTCATTAAAGACAGTTTAAACTAAACTTGCATAGTGGTAAGAGATATTAGGAGATTGGAAATAAACAAATTGATAGGATAGCTATGGCAATGAGGAAATTGGAAAAAATGTTTATTTTTTAGAGTATAACAAGTTGTATAATAGTTAAAAAGATAAGTTTTACATTTAAAAATAAGTTTAGTTCTTGTTATTCTAATGTTAGTATCAGGAATAAAATGTTCAGGACTCAATTTGAAATGGAAGACTGTGATGTCAAGGGAATTAATGGAACATGGTTAGATTTGAAGAATATCATCAAATTATATTTAAATTCCAAGTAGCAATACAATATTTAAAAGAGGGGAAGATATTTTTTTGAAATGATTCATTATGTTTTTCTATACCATGTGGTCAAAGAGCCAACCAGAAAGATTTAATTTTAGAATTTTTGTTAATCACTAATGAAGATGTAGTTGCAAGAGTTGAAGTGGGGGAAATATTTAGGGAAGAATGATCAGGGTATAATTAGGTTTGATGTTTTGCTACACGTTGAGATAAAAAGAAATTAAAGGTTAGCTGCTAAGTTTCAGAAAGTCAGTTTTCAGACCAAGAGATTTATCATTTGGGATAATGAGTTGGAAAGTGTTATGGGACAGATTTGTGAAATTTATCAAAATCAATTGCTTTTAATTCAAGATGGGCATGTTCCTAAAAGGAAGAAAAGGGTGGCAGTGATGATTAAATCTAATTGGTTTACAAAAGACATAATGTAGAAATTCAAGGTTCAACACAATAAATGTAAGAGGTTGGATTGATAAATAGGATGGAAGATTTACAGAATTATAGTATAGGAAAGCTAGAGGTTTGTTTAAAAATGAAATTAGGAAATTCAAAAGGGCTTATGAGAAACAGTTACCTGATAATGTTAAAACTAATGACAAATATTTTTTTAAGTATGTTAAACATAAGCAAAATGTTAAGGTAGGGATTGGGTTCATAAATAATGCTGATGGCGAGGTTTTGTTTAAGTTATGATGAAATTCTCAAGATTGTGATAGTATCATGCAAATGTTTTTCAATTTGCATATGATAAAAACATGAAATGTGTTCATATAATCAGATATTTGGCTATAAAGCATTTAACAAAAATGATTTGAAATAACTGAGTTAGGAAATAAATGATTCATGAGTGATTTAATAATAGTATGAGTGGTAGTAATATAAAAGTATTTTATACACTTATATGTTAAGGGTTACTGGGACACTACTATAATACATAATTAACAAAATGTTAATAGGTCTGAGGTTCATTTGACTAATAGCATAGACTGTGCTTTAAGTTTCAAAACTTTTATTTGTAAAAAAAAGATTGTTGAAAAATTATATTTCAATTCTATTTTGAAACATTTTCACACTGACTTAAAGGTAATGCACTTGCAAGATTAGAAATGGACAAATGAAAGTTTTGAAGTATCTAGTAAATTATCATTAATTTGTTTAGGTTTAAAAATCTGAACTGGTTCCCCAGAGTATGTTTTAACCATGAGGTAAATTATTGGTCTATATTTTTATAATTTCAGAAAACACAGCTATGGTGTGACCGATGTGTGTTTTAATAAGTATTTTTGTTTTTTATTATCAGTCTTTTTTTTGTAAATATGTATTGGATTGTTTACATGAAGCAAGAATAGTTTAGTTACAGTGCACTATATATATTTTAAACATTAAACATATATAGGCCAAGTACACATGTGGTGTAGTCTTTCATGTGGAATTTCTTAATAGGGAGACTAGTGTTAAAAATTAGGTTTAGCTTTAAGTTGAAAGTATACAGATTGAACAAGCTGTTAACAATTAAAGCTACTATCCGGGGTAAAGGTGTTGGGATTTAGTATTAAGTACACATTTTAGGTAGACTGTCCTTTCTTGTATATCTTTATGTAGAAGCAGTTATTAATGGTTTCAAATTTAGTTTTATAGTGTACAAATTCAGGCTCACTTGTATACCTGCAATGTATGTGCACACAGCTAAAAAAAGGAATGGAGAAGTTGTATTTACTTTGGTCTTTATCAAAGAAATTCTGTCTTTCATAACCCTCAACAGGAAGCTGACACAGCTAATATTTTGTGTCTGTTGATTTAGAGCTTTACTTAGCATTAATCACTAACTCATATTTATATTACCTTTTGTGGAACTCAAAGTGCTATTGTGACATCTACAAGGTACATATACATTAGACCAACATAATTTTAGAAGTGTGTGTATAAATGTTTTTGTGATCTGGTAGCAGTATGTACAAGTTTAATTTGTTTGAAAAACTATGTTATCATACAAACACAAGAAGCTTTAATAAATTAAACTTTTCATTATTTTGTAATATGGCACAATATTTTTTTTTACAAACCTTTAGAAATAAGTTTAAGTATAATGTATGCACTGTATAGTATGATTAGAAATATTGCTATAGTATTGGTATTCTCCTTCATCCTAACAAAAGCTCTACGAAACAAATGTTGCATATGTGCATTAAGCATAAAAAGTATCTTAAACCTTTCCTTTTTCTCTTGGGTTGTGCACAAAAAAAGCAACAGTAGCTGAGCTAAAACTTTATTTGAAATTAGTTATTGAAACAAAGTGTTATGCACACATTTGATTTCAATTCAACTTTTTCTGCAAGTGAATCATTAAAAAAAGCCTATTGAACACTAATATAAAATATTTTATGTATACACATAAACATACATTTACTTACATCTCTCATAATACTCTACTAGATATAGATTTGGGTTTTTGACTAGAATATCTTACAAAATGTGAATAAATTATTCAAAAGATAAATGTTAGACAGTGCATACAGAAAATATTTACAAGTCTAGTCGGACTAAAAAAACACAATTAGCTTGCCCTACCAAACTCTTACTTGTTTTTGACAATTGTTCATTTGTTAATGTCAAGCTTTGGAACTGTTTAAACCATATTGGTGCATTATGAGATTATGAAACATTATTTCCTTACTACACCTAACCATCCTTTTCTAGACATCTAAGAACCCTAGATATTGGTAATCCCTTAAGTGGTATATTTAAGTTTTGTTCAGTGAATTTGAACTATGTTTTGTTTAATAATTCTATTTTATACTGTTACTGTAGTTTAAGTATCTACCATTTCATAAACTTGAGCTGATTTAAGAAAATATTCTTATATGTGATACATATTTTTCAACGTTATTTTAAAGCTGAAAAAAAAACTTAAATTGTTTTTAGATACATCTACTTTAAAACATGAAATATACTTTCATTTGAAGTACAGTTAATTTCAACAGTGTGATTATTACATATTAGAATATATACACTGTAGGATGTCACCATGAGCTTTTAAAATTTTGGTATAGATCCTGTTGACCTTCAGCAGGATATGTGGGTAGGGTGGGTGGTATTGATGACTCATCAAAGTAAGGTAGTTTCCTGGAAACTGTAATTGTGTATTTGTTGGATAAGACTGTGTAAGTGTGTATGTTATGTACAGTAGTACTTTATAAAAACAGTTTGCATTCTGTTTTATTTATATGCACTGTAGAGCATATGATAGTACAGCTGTTTTATGTTTGTTTATACATTGTCTTATTTGGTCAAACATCTGTACCAGAAGTTCTGAATTTTGTTAGGACTTCACTCTTGTTTACATTTATATCAACATAAAATAACTATTTTTATAAATCTGACTACTGCATGCAATTTCCATCAAAAACTATCACTTATGAACATCATACATCTATATACTTATTATATAGTGTAAGGTTGTATCTTTAGGAAGTCTACACTCACACTGTAAGCATATAAACATAGAATTAATATATTATTAGGACATAATTCATATATGAAAACTTCTAGAGACAATATGTGTATATATATGAATATACACAATTTATTCTAGGCTTTAATGTTTCTTTGGAGGAATGGACTTTCTCTTGTGTAAAAATAAGGGAAAGTGGAAAAATGATAAATACAAGTGGCTTGTATGCTGTAACAAAATTACACATGTTTATAACTGACATTGTTACATGTATAAAATACTTTTGAGGTATAATCACAAGTAACTAACTTCTTTCATGGTTGTTTTGTTTGTTTGCATTTTCATGATGACTACTGTGGGAAATCTTGAGTCATTGTGTTCGTGTACATGAAACCCTGTGGATACGTGTATGTGGACATGTATTATAATGTTACCACTAACTGGTATACAATAAATCTGAAGCATGTTATAGATTAATTGCTAAGAGTTTCTGTAATTTTAAATTTAAAGTTTGTAAAGGATAACAAGTATACAGAAACCTTCAGATGGGATATTAGAAGTTAGGACTAAGGTATCTAATGTGTCAGAGACTCGAGAAATAAAATATTTAATACTGTAATGTACAACTTACGCCTGTAGTTATAAACTGCATGTATGATTTGATGCTGATTGTAAGAGCTGAAATGTAGAATTTTTCTGAGACATGTTTCCACTTTTATTTATTTTATCACAAAATCAGCAACTGTGTTCATATAGATTAAGTGGTTGAAGCACCAATAATTACAAGTTTGTGTAGATATGCCACTGTGTATCCTTTTAAAAGTTATAATGTTATCTAGATTTTTTTATAAGAAAGTCTCAAGATATCTATTGTGGTTTTAATAAGCTTTGAACTAAAATAATGTGAGATGTCATTGTGAATTTTGTATTTTAGGCATAGAATGCGTGTATGTGGACACGTATTATAGTGTTACCACTAACTGGCATACAATTACATGCGTGTGTTAAGGCAGTAAAACATTTTGAAAGTACAAGAACATTGGCGAAGAATTATTATTTGTGTCATTCATGTTCAACCTTCAACTGTAAGGTCACTTATTTGTACAAGAACATTGGTGAAGAATTATTATTTGTGTCATACATGTTCAACCTTCAACTGTAAGGTCACTTATTTGTACAAGAACAATGGTGAAGAATTATTATTTGTGTCATTCATGTTCAACCTTCAACTGTAAGGTCACTTATTTGTACAAGTACATTGTATTGTTAATCGTTTTGCAGTTTATTAGATTTTCTTTTAATTAAAAGCTGTTAAGGTAAGAAACAAAATTTATTAGTTTAAGATTTCAAGAGATTAATTTTTTCTATTATATATACAACTACATTTTAACTCTGAACATAATGTACTTGTCTTTTTCACTGTGAGAATGAGTGGGAACTGAATTCAGCTGGTTAGCTTTTTTGTGATATCAGAATTTATTTTTACTTGTTCTTTGCCTGACATGAATCATGGTTAACCACTGTCATGAGTCATAAATATATACAGTATCTAAAAGTATAGAATGTTACATGTACATTTCAAGTTGTATAATAATCTGGGAATTACTTTATAGAGGTATTCTGTTATTAAGTCTGTACACATTCATACATCTATGTGTATGTCTTACATATATTAAAATTAAACATAAGTAACCGATCTAGTTTATTGTAAGTTGCAAAAAATCTCTAGATTATTGCACGTATCTTCAATTACACAACATTTTGTATAGTACATTTCCAGGAATAACAGAGAAAGAGGGTGTGTGCGTGTGTGTGTATTATATGAAATTTTTACCAGTTTAGTAGTTTAGATAACATACAATTTGCCACTTTGAAAATATTTTAGATAGAGAATTTGTGTTATCAAACTTTTGTAGTAATTTGGTTTCATTTTAGTAAAAACTTAAGCATTTTTTTCACAGTTTACATTGATTTGTAGACCATAACATATAATAAACAGAAATATATTTTGTATATTTAATTGGATTTGTGTATATGGTTTTTATGAATCAAAACAAAAATTAGAAAAAGTTTATCTTTCTAAAGAATAAACAGAAAATAATAACCTATTATGACATTAATATTTTATGAACTTACTTAAGTACCTTTTAGTTGTAGTACTTTTTTTTAAATTCAAAACTTCATAAAATAACTAAAATTGGGTTTTTTTAATGTGTAAGTAGTCACTTCTCATTGCATGCACTTGTAATTCTTATACTAGTTCAGTCTTTTAGTTGTAATTATTTTTTATAAATACACTGCTTTGACAAATAATGTCACTGGTGTGTTCAAAAGTATGCATTTGAATATAGTAAATAACCTGTTAAAACCTCTCTTTAATTTCTTTAAGTAGCATATAGTTTCATCAAAATAATAATAATTTAATATTTTGAAATAAGTAATTAAAAAAATTATGTTAATATACATTTTTTGTGCGTGTCAATTTTGTTCATTTGATGATGTCTAAACTTAATCTGAGAGCCACACACAGGACTTCCTGTAAAAACATTTTTACCAGTAGATATTTATTTTGGGCCAGAGTAAAATTAAATTTGAACATACTTCTTTTAAAATACACTTTACAAAACTCGTACAAATATACATTAATCTCAAATTGTTACAGTTTTTCTTTCTTCTCCATAATTTCTTATCATTTGCTATTTAAATTTTTTTCACTTTATGAGACTCCGTTAGTAGAATGTACATCAAATATGAAGTTGCATGTTTATAAAGTCCTAAAAGTACACACAATTTTTATTTTGTTTGGTATCTGAAAAGTTTGAAAGTCATTTGTGAAGTAATCACACAAATAAATTGTTTAATATGCCTTTGTTTTTATATGTAGCTAATCAGCTTAATGAATACATTCAGCACTATGAACCACTGTCCTATAATCCAGAAGAGATACATAAAAGTCATCTGCGTGCCAAACGTTCTCTCCATAGTTCTCTTGTATCTATAAATTTTCATGCACATGGGAGGTAAGTTTGTATCTACATGTATGTTTACCTATATTTTTAAATATTACCAAAGCTGAGATACGAGTGTTCTGTGGCTCAGTACTTGAACACTACATGACTTGTATTGACAGAGATCAAGTGTTTCACCCAGGATGTGTAATTTGTAATTACCATGTATGCTCTGTACACTGTTAATTGTTACAAAACTAATCTATCTTTTATATATATATATAAATGGCACACTGTATGAACAAATAACACCAAAAGCTGATTATTATAAATAAAGATAATAGATTATTCTTTAACAAAAAACTGCATATATACTCATAAGTGATAATCAACTAAAAGTTAAACCCATCATCATAATTTACTTTTAATAGTCCATTTTGCTTCCATTATGTGACTAGTCAGTAGGGCTAGGCTTAATGTTCCTGAATGGAAATGAGCAGTGGTGGCTCATGACCTTTGAGGCATGTGGGGGCAAATGTAAAATTTAGAGGCTGATTTTATTTTTTTGTCATTTTAGAAGTAATATATATAAAGAGAGAGAGAAAGTGTATGTTGTATCATACAACATAGTTTATTCATTTACACACAATATTACAAAAATCCATAGACCTTATAGACTTGTATGTAGGTATAACTATATTTGGAAAAATTTTAATGTTGTTGAAATTTTCGAATAAGTTTACCTTGAACATTAACTTGTAAAGGTACTCTCTCGTTCTATTTTTTGTGTGGCAAAAAGGTCGATAACCTTAATGATAAACTGTGGAATGCTCTTGATTAGTTCTCTAAAACTGGACAAAATGGCAAGTGTATTCAATCTGTCCTGAAACATGAATTCTGGAGAATTTTTAATTCACTTGAGAGTGCTAAAGTGAATTAAAAATTGTAACTTGTAACTCCAATTCTGCAGTGACCAATGGAGTTACAAGTACAATTTCTGACATTTTCAAAGTTTCAGGAAATGTGTTGACTAGTCCGTTGTTGTTCACGAAAGCTAAAAGGTCAAGAGGGTTTTTCAAGTGCCTGAAGGTTTCATTATGGTAGAGAACTTTCAGTTCTTTTCAAAAGCTATTTTTTGTAATCATATTGTAGTGTTCTGAAATAGTGCATACATCTTCCTCTGGAAAGACATCTTCATACAAGTGAAACTTTGAGGGATCAACTAAGGCATATGAGGAGAAGACTTGTGAATTTTGGAAACGGGTCTTCATTTAACTTATTACGACATCAAATTCGATGATGAGGAACCCACTTTGAGACTAATAATGCTTGGAAATGGCTTGAATAGGTAATGAAGAAAATTTTAATACAAGTTTAACATAACAGCAAGAAAAGGCTCAATGTGATATATTGGATGGGATGGGCCAATTCCATGTTTGCCAGATGTCACTCCACTAGATCTCTTTCTTTGGGGGCATGTTAAGAACATTGTGTATCTTTATACTTATAGCAAGCATCATGGAGCTAAAGACCAGGATAACAGATGCCATTCCCACTGTAACTATGGGCATGTTACAATGAACATGGACTGAAAACGGATATCTGTTAAATGTGCTGAGAGATTCTAGTGGTGTACAAGTATAAGTCTACTGACATAACAATAAACACTGTTTGAATTGGGTTACAAGATGTTGAAAATTGCATGGCTGTATTTTGTTAGTTATTTAATCATTACATTTTAGAATATGAAAGATAAATTTGGACCATCTTGTATTTCACATTCTTGTAAAATACCATGGATTTTTGCATTTTTACATGACATTTACCATACTTTCTGAAAATGTAATTTGTGTATGTTTTACCGTGAAGACTTTTGAGAAGTAACTTTTTTCTTTCTTTCTCTGTTTTCTAAGCTAGTCTTTATGGTAGCCCAGAATCAAAATTATTATTTTTATCTTTTATAAAATTTTTCTCATGAGTTCAGTTAGCTGTGCAAATTAAATCTACAATATACATTTTGTCACCAGAGTCAATAAGAAGAAAAATATTTCTGGCTTTTTGTTAATTTTCTTTAATTATAATTTTCATTTCACAAAAATCCTCCCAGTAGTTCAGTGGTAAGCCTTTGGGCTTATGATGTTAAAATTGGTTTGAGACCTGTGCTGGACAGATCACAGATGGTTTTTTTGTGTATCTTTGTGCTTAACAACATTGATAAAACATTTCTGAAAATTGTATATACTTTATTTACATTGCTAATACCATTGAAATGTATTATATTTCTTTTTATTGTGTGAAATTCATCACTCTTATCTTCTCCAGGCATTTTCAATTGAGATTAAAAAGAGACACGGAAGTATTATCACCAGATATTATATTTGAAACAGCAGATGGTTATCATGAAGAATTAGACACATCACATTTGTATAATGGTATCTTGTGGGGTGAGTTATCATTTAGTTGTGCTTATGGAAAGAGTGAACATTTACTTTTTGTCTTACTCATTTCAACTCTTCTATTGAAGTGTACATAATACACGTGTCTGATGGACATTATGATTTTTCATAATTTTACCATGAGTGATTCAAAATTGTTTTCCAACACTAGGTATTAATCTCTTAGTGTAATGAGTTTGAAAAGCCACATAAATGTTCACTTTACTTTTGAAGTAATTTTTGGATACTTGTTTTGTCAATCAAAAAAAAATGTTAGACATTATCTTTTACTTTAATGAATACTAAAAATTTTATTCATTGGATTCCCAAAAAACAGTTTTAATAAATTAAATAGAATTTAGCAGAAAAAATTGACTTATTAATAAGACACATTTTACCCATTTATTTTAAGTAACTATAAAATTAAAGAGTACAGCCTGCGTTTCTTATAACATTTCCTCAAGAATAAATAATTTAATTCATCAGAATAACTTACACATTGGGTTGAAAGAAGATTCAGTTGTACAATATGGTAATTTCGAAATGTGTACTGTATGTGACATGATTTGATGACATGCACAAAGTACAGTAGTGGTTGTTATAGTAACTGAACCTCACCCATCAGTACTTATGGTTGGACTGCTGCTTATGCCTTATTTAAATGTGCTAAATTATTATTTTTTACATGTAACAAAATAGTAAAATTTTGACACAAACACCATTTACAGGGTTTAGTTGGCCTTTTAATACTTGAAATATGCATTCAAACAGCTTATAACTAAAACATTTGAACTTTCTTCTTTTTTTCAATTGTTTTAACCAGTCTTTTATGCACTTATAATTCTTATAATTCATAATTATTTCTCATTAATCCACTTGAGATGAACTTTTTCAATAAAAATACTATGGCACTTATAGTGTAGCCTGTGTATTTTTACTGTTGTCTGTAATTAATTTTTATTTGGGGGAACTCTTACAATTGGAAATGAACATTGAGTGCTGGTTTCCATTTCAATGAATTCTTTCCAAAATCACTGCTGCAGTGCTATTAAGAGTCATATCATTTGAGAGTAATATGAATTCAGAAGTAAGCCTATATTAGTTGATTGCTACATTTCCATCATTTTAAAGTGCAAAAGCCAAAATGATTTTGGAGTAAGAGTTAAGCATTCACTTATCTAACTGAACAAAGTTTTTCAAATAATAAGTATTCATTAGTTGTGTACACACAAAGATTTATTGAAAAATATAAACAATTTATGATCATTAGTAGTATACTTTTTAATTGATACTTTTATTTGAATGTCACAGTATTTAAATTACATTAAACGTTTTTATTATCTGACCACAGTTTATCCTGTCATACCTAGTAAATGGGGTTTACATTGTGCTATTAGAATTCTTGGGAAGGAGAAGATTGTGAGGATTAGAAGGAAGGGGGTAAAAACGAAAATAAATGAGAAGATTCTTAAAAAAATAGATAAGGAAATCAGGAATTTGTGTAAGCAACCAAAGGATGCATACCTGGATAACATATGTCCAGAAATTGAGAAATATGAGGCAATACTTAGCATGAAATCAAGAGAAGAATAAAAGTAGTATTAGAGTCTGAGGGCTTATGACACCAAAGATCAGGTTTATATACCGAGGGTGGGCAGAGTAAAGATAGTCTTTTTGTAGGTTTGTGCTTAATGACAAACAAACTTAATGATGTATGCTTTTTGAATTTTTTACATTTAGGTATTTCAAGGAACATAAATATATAGAACAGATAACAAATAGTTTTTTTGTCACTTTTTCTCTCCACCAGTTTAGTTAAGAATTTGTAACTGACGTGTTTAGAAAACACAGAAACATGCAGATAAATAAGATTATTATCTAACCCCGCTATTTTTAAACAAAAAGCAATTATAGCTCTGTTGAAAATCTAAAAAATTCTGTGTATTTTATCAATACACAATGAAAAAAAATTGTATGTTGTAGGTTCTTCCCATACAATTTTAAATTTTACAACTGTGAATGTTAACTGTTGATATCTACACATTTAATTTTTTGAATGTTTAAATACATTTTTATTCCCATTTCTAATGAACAGGAGAACCCAACACAAGTGTGTATGGTTCAATAAGAAAAGGAGTATTTGAGGGAAAAATTCACACACGAAGAAAAACGTACTATGTTGAGCGAGCACATAAATATTTTGGGAACAGCACAGAACCGTTTCATTCCATCATTTATACATCCAATGATGTTAAAGATCCCTTTGCTGCTAAAAGACAAGGAATTGCTGGTTGTGGTGTTACAGGAAATACACTTCAGTGGATGCAAGATATTAGTAATTCCGCTGATCCAGAAGTAAAAGAAACTAGCTCATTACCAGTAAGTTTGTAAAAACAAATTATTTATTCCAAAATGTATGGTGAATTTTGACTAGTATGCAAATATGGAAGTTAAAATATATATATATATATATATATGGAAATTATCCTGCTGTTTTTAATAATTTGAGTTTCCTGAACATGTGTATTAGTTGTCTGAATGTTTTATACAATACCAACAATGACTGAAAAGTTTTTATATTAGAGTATTTCATCTGTAGAGAACTTTAATCTGAGTGTCAGAATGTTACAAAACTTAAACTTATTCTAACAAACAAGATTTAGGAACTACTTTGAAAGTATGACAAGACTTCAACTAGAAAAATAAGAGGAAACTACTCTGCCAGAAGTACACCAAAAAAATTTGAACCCGTAAAGAAAATCCTAAAGTAAAATGATTCTTTCTCTTACAGTTACCCCAATCCTATTAAGAATTACCCGACTTCAAACAAAATTGTTCAAGAAGACAAAATATAGGGCATTTGTTTTGTTCCATGATAATCATGTGAGAAAGTTCATGTTTGTAAAACAGTAAAAAAAGTTTAAACACATGAAAAACAGAACACAAAATGAACATTAAAAATGGAAATACAAATAATGTAATATTTCTCCATAAAAGAGATTTTCAACATTATATGAACTAGAAATCAGTCCAAATGATAAATAAAACTAAAAATCATATGAAGAATTGTTGAAGGCTGTATTATTAAAAGTATACAAAACTTTAGCATCTTTGAAAGTCATTTGAAGTTGAACTGTTTTCTGACCATGAGTTGGAAGGGAATTTCACAATCTTTCATAACTTAAGCTGTGCAGGCAAATTTGTGTGTCAAACTAGTTTTCTAGCCTTTGTACTAATATTTTATTCCAAAAGTGGTTTTGTTAATTTATCTAACATACATGGTTTTATAATATCAAAGAGCTATAATTAGAGAAAGTTGGTTTCTTATAGAGAATAATTTTGTTATTCTTAGTTTAAAATGTATAATAAAGCTTTTAAGTTTGCAGTTTCAACATTTCACTGACATTGTCAGTTTTATGTGAGATTAGTTTAAACAGAATTGTCTCCCTTGCTTTTAGAATAATCATTAATTCTCACTAGCTTAGTATGATATTCCTTTTTTTTTTCTGCTAATGGTGAGTGTATTGAGTTCTTACAGTTTTGAATTAATTTTTTAAAGCTTATGCTGAGAGTAGACATTTGTATATTCTAAGGGGTGAAACATTCTTCTTGTTTCAAACCAAGAAACAAAAAAAAAGTAATTGAGGAAAAATAGAAACACCAGGATTTTGACTTTTGGCTTTCGTCAGGAAGAAGTTATTATTATTATGTATAATTAGCTTAAGGAAAGTTTTAACCATTGGACTGACCTCTTATTGGGAATTTACTATATGTATCTGCACAAAATGTGGCAAGCTTTTGCTAAAATGCACATGTCTGTTGTACATAAAAATTAGATGTGTCACAAAAGTGTTTGTAATCAAGATATGTCTATGAATTAATGACATTATTCTGATCTAAATTTGGACAAGTCAGAGTCAAGGTGATGTTCATGTGTGGAATACAAATACTTTTATTTATCATACAGTTTTCATATTGCATTGGCAGAATGTCTGAAATGCTTATATACAGTTGTTTTTTTTTTTCAGTATCCATGTATATTATATCTGGTATTTTCTCTAACATAAGCAATGCAAACTGAAATGAATAGTTAATAACTCTGACATTAAATATGTAATACCATGTTGAATGGCACTCTGTAAAAGGTCAGGGCTTATATACTTTTGACTCCTAACTGTGTACATGGGGTTAGTAAGAATTTTAAAGGTATAAATTCTTATTTTAAGTCTAGTTAATCCTACCTTTCTGTAGCATTCTTTTGCAAGTTTATTCTTGGTATTTTTGAAATTGAGAGTGGTCTAAAAACTTCTAAATTTTGAATTTGTGTGTGTGTACAACAAGAACTTTTCTGCTTTTCATGTTTAGAAAATGTATATAATTTTTTGTCTTCTTCAGGGTTCTGCTGAAGCCAAAGATAACAAAAGACCTAAAAGGTCTGTGCTTGAAGAGAATAATTATCATAACTTATATACTAGAGAAATTCAGTGGAGGGCACCTCCTCGTTCTCAGCCCACAAGAACTCCAGATAGAAGAGCATGTTCTTTGTATATTCAGACAGACTCTTTTCTTTGGGAGCATGTGAAACGTCATGAATCTACTGATACAAAAGTTAAAGAAGAAATTATTTCACTTGTAGCACAGCACATCAATGCAGTAAATCGTATATACGAAGATACAAATTTTAATGGATATACTGGAATAAAGTTTGTTGTTCAGAGAGTAAAGGTTAGTTATACTTAAATTTCTTAATTGGTAACAAAATGGTCATTTCTGAAAATAAACTACACAGTTATCAGAAAACTAGTCTTAATCTTTTTTTTTTTATACATTATTACTGTTTGATGTAGAAACAAGTATTTTTCTTTGTAAAGTTTGTGTAATTAATGACAAAGTAATAATTAATTTTCAATGATAAGAGATTCATTTGCTCTGTATTTACAAATTTTTTACCATAATGTTATAAGTAGGGCTTCTAGTTTCTTGGTTTTAATTGACAAAGACAAATGCCAATAAGTGCTGAAAATGGTTATTTAATTCACTTTAACTTCACTCATTTCCCAGTGCAATTAGTTGTGTAATGTCCCTCCTTCTAGACTTGTATCTAGCATTGGTTTATTCTGAATAGTTTAAATGCACCACAACTACTGATAGGTAGCAAAGATTAATCTTACTTTGAAGTAATTTTTATACACCAAATAAATTATAGTTGACCTTGCACAGAGCTGAAAAATTATTGATGTTAATCTCCCATTAGGGACAAGTTACCTATTTAGAGGGAACTGAAATTCAACCTGGTTTTGATAATAAGTAAAGTAAAATTTCTGAAATAAATTATTTCAGGCTTTCTATATCAAACTCAAAAATAACTAAAGATAAATGTCTAAAAATGAAATTAATAAACGTCATGAAACAGAATTTTAGTGTAAATGCCATGTAATGCTCACATTACACTTCTCCACTCAAAATTGCATAAAATTTAGTTTGATTTTGTTACAAACCATTGCACTATATATTCTAAAAAAAAAGTTATTTTACTAGTAGCTCCGATGAGGCCACGATGATGAAATATTGGCTGAAATGGAAGTTTGACTTTTATTTGTAGAATAAACGTCATTATTTATATATCTTTTTATGTATTGACTGTATTTTAAGATATTAATGATATTAATACACCTGTTTGCCATTTCAATGCAATTTTTATCTAGGTTTTTTTAACTATAGAAAAAATCTTGGTTTTTTACGGGCAGATATTTGGCTTTTTTTGTTGTTGTTGGGGTTTTTTGGACCTCTTACTATAACTCATCAAGTAACTGAACAAGTTAGTGTTCATGAATCACTTGCAGTATGCGAATTGGCAGCAATATAAACAGTGGTGTTTGTTTTTTAAAGTATTATACATTAGTACAATTATTTTATTTAATTTAAGCAAAAGTTAAATGATTCGTATGTTAAGTTTAATAAATACATAATTAAACCATCCCACTATCATACAACAATATAAACATCTGCAATTAAATATAATAAAGGTATAAAAAAAAGTTGCAACAAAACATCCAGTTGAATAAATGTGCTTCACACTGGATGTTTTAACGAGTGAAAACATGGTTACTGAAAAAGCATAGTTACTGAATATTATGATGCTAAACAGCGATCCCACTGGTGCTGAATAGTATAAAAATAAGTCATTAATTTGAAATTTAATATATTATTTTTGTGTAATTACAAGTATAAATACATGCCTTTATACTTTGTTTTTTTATTTGTAGATTAATGATTCTTCCGCTTGTGATACACCTATTAAGAGAGGAAGCAATCCCTATTGTATTCCCAACATTGATGTATCCAACTTCCTGAATCTAAACTCTCAGACTAATCATGATGAATTCTGCCTTGCATATGTTTTCACATATAGAGATTTTTCTGGAGGTACTCTGGGTTTAGCATGGGTTGCTTCAGATTCAGGTATAACTATTCTTATTTACACATATCTCACAAATATTTTTCATTTTTAACTGTTGAATACATTTTACTTATAAGTACCAAAGAAAAGGAACATTAGAATACAGAAGTATTATATATAATTTATTTTGTCATTACTAAAACTTCAGTAGATAATTTAAAATATATATATTTCTTTTTACCAAGATTAACGTTAGTTCAGTTTCTTACTCTTAGATTTCCAGGCTTATTATTACTCTCGATACATGCAAGTATCTTTTGTGTGTCTAGCTTTCCTGAATGATTGTTACATTTTTCATAATAATAAGTAGACTTACTAAACTGTTGGTAAATATTTAAATATTTGATGTGTAACATATCTGTTTAATGTATGATATAGAATGTGAGTTAAAAAGGGGTTTAATAATGATACTCTCTACAGTAGTCTGAATGTTTAGATATTGATGTAAAATGATTTGATATAACTAGATTTAATAGTTTTTGATTTTATTTTTAGTTACAGAAATTTAAGCCTGTTATATTTTTATTCATGCAGCAAACACAGGCAATAGCTTATTTGCCAAACTGTACCTTAGATAATTTGTCATCATTATTAGATGTGTAATTTATTCCCACTTTCTTTAGCCTGAGTATGGCTTAGTGGTTAATGTGCTGGACTTTGGAGCTAAGGATCTGTGGTTTACATCTCATTACCACCAAAAAAAAGTCTTATTCCACAGATTGAAGCTATGGATGCATTATAAAAGTGATGGTCAAAACCCACTATTTTGTCTGACAGTCGGTGGTGGGTTGTGTTGACTAGCTGCCTTCCTTTCAATCTATCACTTCAGAATTAGGAATGGCTAGCATAGGTAGCCCTCATGTAGTTTTAGTAAAATCTAACAAAAAATCAAACAATTCTTTTTTTTTTGTCTTGTAAAAACAGTTTTAGTATTAGTCGTCTTGAAGTTTTTCATTTCAATTTGCTTTTGCAGTAATATGTTAGTATTGTCACATTATCTCCTCATTTGTTTTCTGTTACAGTACTGGTTGTTTGATTTTTATTATGGGCGAAAATTTAATCTTAACTTATCATTGAATAGTTTCTTATCACAGTAAGTTTGATTTAATTGATAGTATTATTCTTTATAATTTTTTCCCTTCAAACTACATTAGCAATACTACAAGCAATTCAAGATGGCTAATATTGGGAAAAAAAAAGATTATTCAGTCATTATATACACATAATGTGCTTAACCATTTTCTTTTATTTTTTTTTCTGAACAGGAGCTTCGGGAGGAATTTGTGAAAAATACAAATCTTATACAGAAAACATTGGAGGCCGACAAGTGCAGAACAAAAGAAGTCTCAATACGGGAGTTATTACTTTTGTCAACTATAACAGTAGAGTGCCTCCCAAGGTTTCTGAATTGACTTTAGCACATGAAATAGGTCACAATTTTGGGTCACCAGTAAGTAGTTCAAAGGTGTTTTTTATATATATACACACACTGCTTTACCAGATTAACATGAGTGCTGCTTTAAATAGTTGCACAGACCAAAATACTCACACAGTGGTATAAATATCAGCAATCTGCATTCTGAAACTCAGAAGGAATATACAATATTTAGAGCAATCTGTGATCTGTTTCAACTTTTACATGAGGTTGTATAATTGGGCATTCTGCTTAGTGAGTACTTACTCCTAGGTCCATTTCACAACAATTGTTACAAACATACTGGCTTCCAGAAGATGAGTTCTGCATAGGCTGAGTTACATATAAATATACAGGGCAGAAAGAAGTTAACTGGGGAAACATTATACAGACCTCTAAAGCTTTAGATCACTGAACTGTTTTCAGTTCTGTTTCCAAGAATGCAGTTTAAGTAGGCACAGATTTGTGTCGAAGAAGGCTAGGGATGTATTGCAGAATGATTACTTAAAGGCAGTGGCAAAATATAGTCACTGCAGCATCTGTGGTACTATTTGGTGCAGAGGAAATACTAATTTGGTGTTCATTAATTTTCAGTTTGGTGCTTTACAATTCTATTCTTGGAACCAGCTTATTTTATTGTTCTTCTGAGGAGTTGTGTAGTTTCACTAACTGCAGGTAGACTGTGCCACATGCCAAAGATCTAGAATCTCCACTATCTAGAAAAGACAATAGAGGCTTGCCAATTCTTCTCTGGATTCCTCAGGGTCCTAATATGAACCTTACTGAACATGTCAGGGAACACCTCAATCCACATTTATAAAGAATTTTACCAATGCTTGCCAACCTGAACAAACTGAGGTCAAAATATATGGAACTATGGTAAAGTCTGGACCAGATTGTAACACAGAATCTCATTGATTCCATACTTATATGGGTTAAGGCTCTATATGTTGCGGAAAATGAAGTTATCAGATACTGATATGTTTGTTTCAGCTCAGTTTAGTGCTTATCTTGTTGGAGTTTCTTATAGTAAATGTCATATTTACTTCAGGGCTGCTCATGTCAGTTTGGCAGAGTACTATACTTTTAATATATCTTATGTCACAGAATGAAGGTTTAACACTTTCACTACAAGCACCTTTTTCTGTGCATATTATGAGGTTTCAGTGAGTTAAATTCAAAATTTAAACTACTTTCTTGTCATGTTAAACGAATAATTTTTGGATAAAAGCATAGCTAATAATCCAAATATTTTAGCATATACAATTTAACTTTAAGTTTGATTGTTACACAAGGCAACTGGCATACAAATTTGATTAACATGCATGTAGAGTTGGGTGATTAGTGGTATTTGCTAATTGATTAATTGACAAACCGGTCATTTTTTTTTTTTTTACAAATCGTTGATTATTGGAATAATAAATAATTTTCATTAGCTGTATTTTTTTTTTTTATTGTAATCAATATAATCAAAATTGTGATTAATCAGATGTTGGAATAATTGATCAATTAGATCAATGGATTTAATCATAAAATCCATTAATTAATTAATTTACATGACACTAATCAATGTAATCACTGTTCATAGGTAATCATTTTGCATCACCCAGCTCTAATGATGTAACTGTATGTATTTTTTGTGAAATTTGTATTGGTGTTTCTCAAAACATATTTTTGGAGTTATTGATGTTTCTACCATTAGCTTGTTATTAAAATTATAAGGTAAAATAATTGCCATTACAGATTTAAGAAAGATTAATATGTGACTTGGGTGGTGTTATTTATCAATCTCAATATGATTTTATCTTTTTTAAGCATGACTATCCTGAAGAGTGTCGCCCTGGTGGTAGTAGAGGGAACTACATCATGTATGCTAGTGCAACATCTGGAGATCGATTCAACAACAATAAATTTTCTCCTTGTAGTGTTAGAAATATCAGTGCTGTCTTGCAAGCTGTTTATACCAATAATGGCAAAGAAAATTGTTTCTTGGGTAAGTTCATCCTTTTCTGACTTTATGATTGAATAATCACAGTTATAAAAATATTTTGTAAAATGCACTTAGGTTGCCTTTTCATAACTAAAACTAGAATATTTATATACATGATAGTTGCGAAGACTTCTGATGTCTGTTTATGAAACAAACAATATGTACAGAAGTATAGCTAAAAGCCTAAACTTTATTCTTTCTTGGCATTCTTCCATTTATTTGCTTATTATTGTTTACAGCTTATGATAGAAAGTATGTAGATTTGAGCTTACCTAAGAGTGATTGGTGTTGTAAAAGTCAAAACAACTGTTTATGCTAACATAATTTTAAATCAGTTATAATTTATTGTTATGTGCTAACACAATTACATAAGAGTTCACTGTCAAATCATCTGTGGTTGACTGTTGAGTTTTATGTAAATCATTAATATATTAATAACTATATATAAAACTAGGGAAGAGAGATACGCACACACACACACACACACACACACACATAATAGCATACCTTTTGGCTAGGTTGATTGTTAATGATGTCATCTCATGAATTTAAAATCAAATCATTTTGAGCTCTTTATTGTTACTTTCTGCGTGAGTGTCGGGTTGTCTCCATAATGTGTTTAAAACTACTGAACAGTTTTGGTTTATATACAAAAAATACCTGAAAAGGTACGTTTCAAAATGCTACTCTGATAAAAGGAAGTATGTAATTTTAGACAACATGTTCTGGTGCTATTTTTTTATATTCAATACAGATTATTTGTTCAATGAGTAAGTTTGGACAAGTGAACTGTTTTAATATGTAAATAAAATGGCACATTGTTTATCGGTTTCACTATGTCAAGAATGATACATTATCAAGAAATTAAGGTAATTTGCAAAAATATGTAGTGTATGAAAAATTTAAACAATAATATATAAATATATATCATAAACTTTTTTTTTGGTTGTTTTGAAATTTTTTTTCTCTGGCAAAGTAAGGAAACTTGTTAAACCTAATGAATGTGGTAAAAAATGCAATCCTATATACGAATCCTTGGGTCAAAGTGTACGTGTCCTGACTTTGTATAGAGTGCCATGCAACATGGTATTATGAATTTGATGTCAAGAGTTATCAGTATTTGTGTAACTCTACACTGTTGATTTCCCAAAAGTGTGTGTTAGAGTAGGGATAATATCAGATACAATATACAAGGATACTGAGTAAAACTGTAGATAGGTCTTTAGGAGGCTGTAGAGGTTATGCAAATCAATTTGCTAACTGTACGATGGCAAAAGTATTTTTATTTTAACGTGAACATCTCTTTGCACTTCAATTTCCCAGACTCAGAGTCAGACTGATTTTGGCATTTGACAGACATGTCTTTAGTACAAAATCGTTAGTAACTATTTGATGTTTTTGACAAAAGCTTGCTATGTTTTGTGGTGATACGCTTCATAAGTTTGTAATTATATTCAACATTACTTCTCCTACACAGGATTAGTCCAATGGACTGACCCCATGCACATGGAGTTAACTACAAATTTGCACTATTTCCATAATTCACTTTTGTGGAACATGATCTTCACCACATTCATTAGGTCTAATGTGGTTCTTTACATCTCTAAGTAAAGTATTTTACATTTTGTTTACTAATAGCATCTCGTGTAGACTTTTGGCCATTGTGAATTCTGCTATTGAACAAAAGGCATGTGTAAAATGTTGTTTTTATACACCTCTGGAATATGAAAACTAAGAATAGGGTATTTTCATCATATTTGTTAGCCTTTTTTGTTTATTTTGGTGCATCTTTGGTTAACAACTCATCCTTTGTATATCTTATGTTATCCATAAGTGTAAGTAAAATTGCTGGTTTTATTCTATACATGTTCTTTTAAGCTGTGTAAAGAAGTATTAAAATAACTTCATAAATACTTATTAAGCTCTTTAATGAAAGGATTGATAGACTGTTTTTTAAGGTAAATCTTCAGTGTAAATTAATGTGAATTATTTTTATTTTGAAATTAGGTTTAGCACTTTGGATTGATTTTTATAATTTTATCTAAAACAAATTTTAATAACATTTATATCCAAATAAGATTCTTTTAATTTCAATTGTAGTTTTATTTTTTTGTGATTTGAGGGTAGAAGATCAGACACAATTATTAAAACTTAATATTTTCATGTGCTTTGTAAAAAAAAAAAAAAATGTTGAATAGGAAAGTGTTAAAGACCTTCAAATATAAGATGAAAAAATAGCTTCAAGCCATGTCTTAAAAACTCCAGAGTTTCATTTATGTTTATATGGGAATATCAGTTATTTAATGATTGTGCTGTATTTTTTGTGCTTCTCTTAATTATTTTACTCATTGTAATTGTATGACTAAGAAAATATCACTATTTATTAACATTTTGGTGGTAATAAAAGAAATTTTATAGATACATATTATCTAGATTTCATTCTAAAACTCCTTTGAAATTTTTTTCACATTTTATCTTTGTTTTATTTAAATCTCTGAGGCTTTCAAGTTGCCAAAACTTGTCATTATTTTGATCTTAATGTGTATGTGTCTATATATTGTGACTTTTGCTCTTCGTTTGAAACTTGATTTTTTTCCGTAAAACATTTATCACTAATTTTTTTCATTGCCCATTTGTCACCGTAATTTTATCCTTTGTTTTTTATCACGTTAAAGAGGATGGAGGACCTTTCTGTGGTAACAAAATAGTTGAGGAAGGAGAGGAATGTGACTGTGGCTGGGACATCAATGAGTGTAGTGAAACTTGTTGTTATCCAAAAGAAGTGGAACCATACAAAAGACAAGACCCAAGAGCAAAACCTTGTACCCGACGCCCAGGCACTCAGTGCAGGTTAGTTATATTAGAATTGTGATATATATCCAGAAATTTAGGCATTATATTGGTGGAAGAAGTTTGAGAGGGGGAGAATTTGTTCTAATTGCCCAGATTTGGGTACTTGTGTTTTCCTACAATTATCAAGTGGATGGAAATGATAATTATAAAAGTGCATGTGAGCATCGTATGAAAGATTTAAATTCTGATAAGTGAAATTGTGCACACACATTTTTTGTAATCCACTACTTCAGTTTTTTAATGAAATATATTGCTCTAACATTTTAACAGTTACACCACCTTCCTCCAAACCTAAATGTATTATCTGTGTCTACAATTAATTAACCCATTAACTGCAGCAGGAGCAGCTCTGTTGCCGTTTTGTGACTCACAGATAAAACTGAGTTGCCATCAATCACAATAAATGATCGACCTTTTAACTGCCACGGATCGCAAAATCCAAAATATGATTTACACTTTTTTTCTAGAACAACTAAACATTGCAACAGACAATTACACACTTTTTTTTTATAGCCATAGCTAATAGAGTTTGATTTCTTACAGTTGCACATAGATCCTCCTGGACTACAACAATAGCTATTTGTTACGCTGGACAGCTTTACGTAAACAATGGATCCAGTTACCAGCATGCATTTTATTTAATTTCATTTAAGTTTCTTTATCTAACCAAATAAGTTTTTAATTTTTACACTTTAGTTACTTTTATAACAGTAAATATGCATAAAAATCAAGAAATTTAGTACTTATGTTTAAAATTTTGTCTTTTTTTTTTTCAAGCTTTTGTACTCGTACGATAGAAGTCGATGTCAAAGTTTATCCCTAATTCTTAGTAACGATAATGTGTTTTAGAAATGTTTTTTTAAATTCAGATTTGCAATTTAGAATATGAAATATTGCCATGTATATTAAATAGAATGTCATATAGTCCTAGCTTCCTAACTTGGCTAAAAAATGGACTAAATGATTACCATATGTGGCTAAGCAGAGCTGAAACAGTGGCCGACAAATAAAGTGACACCAAAATGCTCAAATCTGTTTATTCCAAGAGATTAGGGTGCTGTAACTGTCAGGAACTTGAAGGCTTCACTTCCTGTTGGTTACAAAAAATCCAATAGCATATGTCAGAAAGAATTTAGGACAACTTTCTATGAGGGGCATGGCATGTGGCTTTCACTTTATTGCTTGAACTTCCATAAAGCTCAGGGATATGTGTAGTACAAGTGTGAAATTCCATGGAAAGTTAGGAGGTCATGTAGGAGGTAGAAGAAAATCAAAAATGGGCAATTCAGAGCAAAATAGTGTCGTGTGGTACAGAAAAGTGAAGATTGAAAATTTAATTAAAGAACTTTATTATCAATGTATTACAGATATCAACAAGTTTGGCATCATAACAGTTTATAATTCAAATTTGAAT